ACCACGCTCTCACAGAAAACCAGCGTCAAATCTCTACACTCACCATACGGAACACAGCAGCTTAACGCTGCTGTGGTCCGTATGGTGAGTGTAGAGAACCGGAGACCCTTTTTACTGGCAAAGAGGCATTCCATCTTAGTCCTCACGGGTGACAACGCATCTGCATCTTGAGTCTTTATTGAGGATAGATGTAGATGTCTATGGGTCACAGTAACCACTTACCATCAGGTGAACTATGTGCTCGTTTGTCACCCCATCCTATAAAAAAAACCACTCAAGCGGGTGCCGAACACATGGCGCTTTGGCGCTGTAAATAGACTTGCTCGGCTTTCGTTGTGAGTGGTAAGACATGTCACGCGGATATCTATCCGACCGAGACGACTAAATAACTGTTGCAATTTGTGTGATGCCATTTTTGCAATGTGTGATATTTGCATACAGTTGCTTTTTATATTTGCAATGTGTGTGGCCTACGCCTCTGCATGCAGTAGCCTTTTGCAATGCGTAGATTTTGCGCAGTTGCCTCCTTCCCTTTGGTATATGTGGTGGGATCAGTCTCTCCACATAGTACCGTTTTTGCAAAGTGTGCGATGGTTTGTGAGTGCCATATCACTCAGTTGCCGTTTCTTAAGAGAATGTGTGGTAAAACTTTGGAAGCCTGGAATTCTATGAATTTTTCTTTTTTTATCTTCATTTCTTTTAATTTTTAATTTTGCGAAGCAGGTTATTTATTTGTTTCACGCACCTAAAACGTTTTACATCTGTTTCAATCTTAAATTTCTTTGGATGGCTATTTTGCGAGACTTGCATTAGTGTTGGATGTACTTTTATTATTTTGTAAATTTATGCTAACGTCGTGCCTATGACTTAATCAGTTATATTAAATCGACTTCAAAAAAGAGGAGGTTCTCAATTCTACTGTGACTTTTTAATGCGTGTTACCTCTGAACTTTTTTCTAGATGAGCCGATTGAGCCGAAATACACGGCTGAGATGACAAAACTAAGTCATTTCACCTTCAAGACAAGTTGAGAGGACAGGCAAGAAAGTGGTATAATCGACACGATGAGTACAACTACTCCTGGGAGCAATGGAAAGAAATGCTTCTTTGTGCGTTCCCGAAACATTGAGACTACGCACTTGTTCTCGAAAATGCTTAACATAAAAAAACTACCCTCTGAAAGCATGACAAAATATTACCAAGAAAATGCTGCTTTGTGCTTTAAAATCAAATTGTAAGATATCGCTATTGTGTCCAGCATCATACGAGATTTGCCTCTAGCGTTGCAATCAAATGCACGACCTGACGAATTATGTGAAAATTTCTTGTCAGCACTCGATGACTACAAAGTTCCTGTAACGGATACCAGAGGAGGCTACAAGTATATGTCGCTCCCAACAGAAAGGAAACCTTCCGCGAACCCTGACACTGATCCATTTCAACGCTGCAAGAAAATGGGACATTTAATACGCAACTGCCCATTGCCTGACCAACGCAGTTGCTACAAATGCGGAGTTCAAGGTCATATTGCTCTACGTTGCCCATCAAATTCCAAAAATGTACCCGCCCCGAGAGCAGACAGCGTGAAAGAAATAAAGTTGCTTCAAAACTACAACGATGTTTACAAAGAGACTGCAAAGGTCAACGGTGCTTTCGTGAAATTGTACATCGATACGAGCAGTCAAGTAAATGTGCTTACGAGCGAAGTAGCTACTCTTATAGGTCTCGAAGCCAAATCTGTCTCTGTTACTTTGAAGGGATTCAATGGTTACAGTGAAGTCGAGCTTAAACTTGAAATTGATAACCTGCATATAAGCTGTAACGCATACCTAACTGATACCTAAATGAGCGGCGTTTGATCAGGCAACCGGTTATAAACAGTGAAGGCGTGTCATTAGTAGTACATGAAGGCAAAGCTACACTTCAGAAGGAGCTCAATTTCCTTTCCAATCTAGATGCTACTGAAGCTATTAGCAGATTTCCTGTCGTCACTGCTGCAAGTGAATGCCTACCACCAAGTATCTCCATTATCAACGTTCATATTAATGGCAATGCGGACAGTAAACACGTAGTAACACCTGCGAGACACTTCGAGTTCCAAGAAGTATCCATCTCTCTGCCAGCAACGCTTCTATGCGGAAATGAAGGCTACGTCAAGGTCGTCAACAGCGGAGCCAAGGACATCACATGGAAGAAAGGAACCGTTCTACTTCACGCTGAGAGCTGCATAAATAATAAGGTCAGTCAACATGCTAATATTTGCAAAATGCCACTAGCCAAACGTGTTTTACAATTAAGTCCCTCATGTGTTGATAATTATGCCATTGGTGGGGTAGATTTAGATAAAATTAAGATAGGCCCGATAAGCAAATCTGATCATAATCGATTAATCAGTTTATTATCTCGCATAGCAATTGTTTTCCTAGCTGTACTGCGGTCAAAAATCCGTCAATTTTGGCGTACCACAAGGCAGCATCATGGACTTACGCTTTTTATTTTTGTTACGCTGACGATACAGTTTTAATTTATGAAGGATCCACCTGGCCAGAGATTTTTGGGGAGGCTGAAGCATGAATGACACGTGTATCTTTCACAAAACAGCAATTTCTGCACCTAGCCCAATACTTCAATTAAAACTGCACACTTGTGAAGGTGAACATGGCTGGAAACTTTGTAGCTGTGTGGTGCTGAATAAGACTGACGTGGCTAAATACTTAGGTTAGGTCTTTCAGGACGGGTGAGAAAAATTATAAATATCATGAAACTGCTCCGACACTCAGCATCTATAGAAATCTTCTGGTAAGTATACTTTGGATTGGATTTAGAATCGTTTGGCACGAATTTGGCGGAGTAAGGTGTTTTATTTGGTAGAGATTTGGTCCCCGATTATAATAATACCACTCACATTAAAAGGTAATGCACTATAAATGTTATTTTCACGTTAGGTCTATGGGATTTTCTTTTTGATTTTTCTCAAAAACGGTGTATTACTTTTTAATGGGAGTGGTGTCGGGAGTAAGGGGACGCTCCACCCCCCCTCAACCCCTGCCTACTTCTCCTGCCAAACGATTCTAAATTTCAACCTATACTTTGCCCTCTGTCAGTCCTTGATCACTTATTGCTTAACATTGTGGGGTTGTGCCGCGATAACACATATTATTCAGCTAGAAAGAGCCCATCGTTCAGTTTTTAAAACAATGCTAAAGAAACCCTTTATATATCTAACAGATAGACTGCATCAGGAAAGCAAAGTCCTTACTGTGCGTCAATTATACATTTTAAAATTAGTTCTCAAAGTCCATCTGTAATAACAAGCAAAGATTACGAAATTTTACTCAAACGAAGAGTCTCCAAGGTCTCCTTACAGTCTCTACATAGACTCGCTAACTTACAACAAAGTAGTCAGCGTCTGCGATATAAAACATTGCTCTATACATTGAGTTATATGTACTAGTAGGTAGTACATATATATCGATGGCTCTATAAAAGAACCTAAAACAAAAATTGTTTCCTGGATCGCTTCCTTAAATTATGACTCGGCAAATATATTCTCACACTTAGAATAAGGGCAACTATCATTATTATTAAGAATGTTTGTTCATTTGTACATTAGTTCTAAAATTTTAAATTTTTTATGTTTAAGCAAACCAAGCGAAAACTAAACATAAATAGTTAATGCTAAAGGGTACGCACGATACCACAATGCATACGATGGTACGATGCAATGTACTCTGTGGTACGATGCAAGTACCAACGAATACTTCAATGAGTTGTAGTTGTTTTCTGTCAAATAAACATTATTCATTTTTCAATATCACTTTTTTCCATTATATATCTTTACCTTTCCGCATTTTTCTTAAATTTATATCCAATACCTTTTAATATTTTCCTTGTAAGTTTACCCGCATTTATAAACATCAATTCAGAGTATTTAGCACAGATTTTGGCCACACATGAATACTTGCCGTTATCATACATAGTAGATATAGTGCGTTTTAGCACACATATCAATATTGGTAACGGTAGTTGGTTTTTTTAAACTTTCCCTTAGATTGGCTGGACTGCCGGTTTGCGATATTTCCGTTTTTATTTAAATAAACGCAACATTTTTCCGTGTTTTAATAAAATTAAGCTGGGATATTTTTTCGAGATCACTTTTCAAATAATTTCGCTTTTGCACATTAATATCACCTTTTGTTTTTTTTTTTTAAATCTTCATCATCATTACAGCCCTTCACAAGTCCACTTCTGAATGTAAACCTCCCCAAAGGAATACCACAAAGCACGGTCCTGAGCCACCTGCATGTCTTACCAGATCGTCACTCTATCTAGTGGGGGCCACAGACTAATATAATGCTTAGGCACGGGGTATCGCCGGACAAAATGTCATCAAGTAGTAATTACATACCCTTTGTCTCTTTGGTGTTAGCTGTCAATCAGGTTTTGACGGGAACTTGACCGGCGGCGGTTTGCTGCTCCTGTTTTATTGTTTAAAACGGGTTGAAGTAGATTTTGCTATGTAAGAGTGGTGCGATTTTGTGTATTAAGTGTCTGAGCATGTGAACTATTAGTGGAAACGGTGTAACAAGTGCTCTGATGGTGATGTGATTCTCAAGATAAGGTGTCTGTCGCTTAGGCGCCTTAAGATACCATCGCCAACAGTCAGCTGTCTGCTGGCTCAAGTTACCGTGAAAATCTCCCAATGGCTGCACCAACATATTGTGAAGGTGTATTGTGATAGATAATTATACATTGTAACTTCGGGCTCAGAAAGGCTAGAACCCAGAGCCCTAAAGCCAGTTATTAAAAAAAGCCGTCAATCAGTCATTACCCATAGACTAATATATAATACCATAGACTAATATATAATACTCAGTACTGGAGACTGTCATTACCCGTCATCTATTTTATTGTCATTCATTTCAATTTCGATTTTGAAGTATCATTCTTCTTGGATTGCTATTGATAAACGTTGTATTAAGTTTTTAAAAGTATTAAATATGGGTTTGGTTACAATAATAGAAAATGAAGCTCATTTTCAGTCCCAAATGGCTAACGCTGGTTCGAAACTTGTTGTTGTATACTTTACAGCATCGTGGTTAGTGATAAAACAGATCAAAGTTTCCAAGTCATTACTTAGGTTTGTAATTAAAAAGTAAAATTACTTTTTATGTTTAAGGTGCCCACCGTGCCAACGAATTTCACCGTTTTATGAACAATTACCAGTAAAGTTTCCAAAAGCAGTTTTCCTAAAAGTTGATGTTGATTCATGTGCAGAAACTGCAAGTGCTCAAGGCGTCAATGCTATGCCTACCTTTGTAATTTATAAAAACTGGGTAAATATATGCATATTATTTGATATATTCGGCATATACTTGATTCGGTTATTGCAAAAAAAATTGTATGAAAGTGGATGTTCTACTTGGCTTCTCTCTTACTTAAACAGTTATACTATACATTCAATAAATTGCAGTTATAATTCGACTATACCCAGGTAGTCCCAGTTGTAATCATAAATTGTGTAACGTCATGAATTTATCACATAACACCGTAATAAATTAAGTATGCAAACCAACACTGCTCATCCCACTGGTCCTGCTCGGCCATTTTAAAAATCACTACATACTAGTTCATTATGGAAACTAGTTTGTTCTATTAGCTCTATTTGGTTATCAGTACTACTAAGCAGTTTAAACTGTACCTAGCTTTAAAATCTGTATGGAATGGTTATCTCAGTCATTAGATATCTGCTTGAATCATAATGTTAGTATATTATCACTTGTACTCACACAGTTGATAGTTTCTTGGTCAAAATAAGTCTTAAGTAAATTAGTGTTGAAAAAAAATTAATGGTAGTGAAATAAAATCCCATATCCATAACATGCAAATAAAAAGCATCCGAGGATGCAATCAATATTAAAAAAATAATAAAAAGCACAAAATCTACTCAATAATTGTGCAATTGCAAGTGCCGAAACGAAGTTTAGCAAATGTGTGTTTGAATCTATTTATTAAGTAAATAATAGTAAGATAATTTTAATAATGTTCATTTGTATCTAGAATATAATAGAATAGATGGGCTGTTTACTCCACATCTAAGTGCATATTTTGCGTGTGGGCAGGAATAATGTATTTATTTGAGCCATGAAATCTCCCCGAAGAAGTTCAACAGTCCTCTGATGTTGCAAGCAACTTCGGGGAGTGATGCCGGTGTGCAGAGAGGTTTAGCTCTGTAGACAGCAACTACCGGTCATGTCAGCAACAAGTGGGTTGCCGTTTTTTCCTCCCCCAAAAAATGCCCTGCACAAGGGACTGTCCGTAACACCTATTGTAAATAAATGTGTGTTAAAGTTGCTGTGTCCTGTGATAGCAATTGTTACTATCCTGAACTGCGGCTTGTTCAGTCTCATTAGAACCTGGGTTAAACGACTGTTTATTTCAGGCAAAGACTCCCTAGCTTTTCTACAGTCTACTACATTTTTCCAAAGTTGAGTGTGTTGATTAGTGTAGTGTCTACATACCAGTGAACGAACATTACCATAGGGGATTGGTATGATTGGTTCCAGCCCTATAGTGGCCAGAACTGATCCTCTTCTGCCAGTTCGTCTGCTGCATCATTGCCTCTGGATCCACTGTGTCCCTTTACCATTGCAGAATCACATTGTTTTCTTTACATACCTCATTTAATCGTTGGTGGCATTCATATATTAGTCCTGAGCTCACCACATTGCAGCTCAGGGCTTGTAGTACGAAGAAGGCTTGTAGTAAGAGAAGTCATTAACCTTTCTAGCATCTATTGCTATGGCCGCTTGAATGATACCCATACATTCCACCTGAAAGACTGTGTTTTAGGTACCCAGTGGTGTGTATATGAGGATGTTGAGGTCTTCAGAAAAATGTTCCAGATCCTACACCTTCATTTGTTTTAGAACCATTGGTGAAGACTAAGCTCTTTTGGGCTTAATCCCTCCGGCTGACTGGTTTCATTTAATTGTATGTTACACTTCTTATCTAATACAAATTGTTTATGGAACTTATTGTAGTTGGCTTGAATTCTATTAATTATGCCTGTATGAGGGACTCTATTCTTACTCCAAAGATTTAGGGTCTTGAGTCTAATGGCAGCTAAAGTTGCTTAGTTGTTATACTAGCTTTGTGGATTTTGTTTTCTATGTGTTTATTCCAGTTGAGTTTACTGTCCAAGATGAGACCTAAATATTTTACCTCGGAGGATAGCTGGAGTTTTGTACTGAAAAGACTTGGGAGATGATAGTTATTCAGCATTCGTTTTTGTGTGAACATTACTAGAACCGTTTTATTTAGATTTACGGTTAAGTTGTATTCCCTGCACAATCTCCACTATACTTAGAGCCGCTTGGGTCAGGTCGCACACCATGCTTGCTGTCTTTCCAGAGACCAGTATATTTAGGTCATCAGCATAACCTACTCTGTAGAAATGATTGGCATTTAATTTGCTGATGAGTTCATTTATCACCATATTCCACAGGAGAGGTGAAAGAACCACACCCTGGGGGCAGCCTTTCTTAATCTGGGTTGTTTGAGATTTACCAGCAATCTTTATTGTTCGTGTACTGTGCTGTTTACTATCCAGTCAATCAGTGGCGGTTCAACTTTATGTCTACTGAGTGCACTTTTTATCCTGGAGAAGTTTGTTCTGTCAAAAGAACCTTCTATATCTATGAAAGAACCTAGACATTACTTTGTTTTGGAAGGCCTCTTCAATCTTTGTTATTACCTGGTGAAGTGCCGATTCTGTCGATTTACCATAAGCTGTAGGCGTGTTGTTTGTCGTGTAGCAGTAAGTTCATTAGCGCCGACCCCCTTTATTCCCTTTCACACATTCTCTCCATTGTCTTTAGGAGAAAGGATGTGAGACTAATGGGTCTGTAGAATTTAGAGTCTGTATAGTCACTCTTACCTGGTTTGGGTATGAATGTGACTTTCACTTCCCTCCTTATGACAACAAGTCTGACTATTAGGGCTTTCCCCCCCCCCCCCCTCCACTGTAGGAGTGCCGGGAATACACCGTTCAGGTCCTGCCGCCTTGTAGGGGAGGAAACTGTGAATGGTCCAATGGATTTTGTCCATGGTTACCACTGTGCTAAATTCCAGTCTTCTGCTGTTGGTGTCATTGCATCTTCATGCCGATTTACTCCCTGAGTAATGCAGCAAATTGGGAAGTGCGTTTCAATTAGGATGCATTGGGTTTCGTCCGGCGATGTTGAGTAGCTTCCGTCGGGTTTCTTTAAAGACATGGATCCCGGCTTATTCTGTTTAGCTAGGATTTTCCTTATCCGATTCGGTTGTTTACAGGTTTCTATGTTATCACAGAATTTACACCACCCTGTCGAGCGTCGATACCTTATACATTTTTTGTATTCGAACTTAGCTTTCTTGTATATTAGCCAGTCTTCATCCATTGAGGTATTCATGGCTCTATTTAGGGCTTTTCTTACCTTCTTACATTTTCTGTCTAGTTCTTTACCCCACCACAGTTGCTTTACCTCAGCATGTCTTGGTGGAGTGATTTTTGGACATGATTCATCGTAGCTATCCATCATGGCCTTAGTAACAGCTGCTACCTGTTCTTCTAGGAGCGACAGATCTGCTATACTATATACTATAAGTATTTGTCCCCTCAAAACCCGCGAGCGAAGATGTCAGCCTATTAAGGTATTTTGTTTTATCCGTTTTGCAGGGCTTTCTTCATGGTGGTGTATCGGGGATATCGACCTGTAGTACGAAGCAGATCCACCTATGGTCTGAGCATGTGGCCTCTTTTGACACAATAATAATAAGCCTTTAATCGGACAAAAAATAGTATTTCTTTGTTATTCATATATTTTTCTTTTGTTCCATTTTTGTGTGTCCGTTTGCCAGGTCGCAAAGGCCTCCTCCAATCTTCTCCATTCTGGCCTTTCTATGGCCACTCTACCCCATGTAATTCCTGCGACTTGTCTAATATCGTCATCCCACCTTCTCTGTGGTCTACCGCTCCTTGTTTTTCCATCCCTTGGGTACCATTGTGTTATTATTTTGCTCCATTTGTATTTTCCTCTGATCAAGTGGCCTGCCCATTTCCATTTTTGTCTTCTAATTTTTAGAGTTATATCCTAGACCTTAGTTTTGTTTCTGATGCTGCTATTTCTTATTCTGTCCATTCTTTTGATCCCTACCATACTACTTTCCATGGCATGTTAGCATATGGAGAGTTTGTTTGATATGTTTCTTGTTAAAGCCCATGTTTCACTTCCGTATGCCAATACAGGCAGGATGCATGTGTTTAACACACGCATCCTTTTGACACATGCCATCCCGTAATTAGTTTAGCTGCTCCTTCTGTCGCAAGTGTGAGATCGATTATTGTGCAACAATGTTTGTTTATAATAGTTAGTTCAAAACCTGTGTTTAAAATGGTTAAGTTAGTGTTAAATAGATATTCAACTAAAACCTTACCTCGTTCATTGGGTTTTTCCATTCCCCAGAGGGGGTGATGCGCGTTGGAGTCCGTCCCAATCATAACCTCTAGTCCGGTCCCCTCACAGAAGTGCACTAGCCTGAGGAGGTCATGATGGGGAGGAGTGTCTTCCTCCGGCATGTAGACCGAGGCAACTATTCTTTCCTCCTGTGTGTTTTGTAATGCTATGGCATACATGTCTCTGGAACAGAAATCTGTTAATGGTTGTGCACAGATATCTTTAGTAGTATTAATACACGCTCTAGGCCCTTCGGGTTCAGTAGTAGAATAACTTACCTTTTAGCTTGTTTAGGCCCTTGATTTTACCGGCTCCAACCCACGGCTCTTGGATTAGGGCTATGGTCGTCCGTTGAGCCTGAAACCACTTGCGTAATTGAGCCGACGCAATTTCGCTGTGGTGTAGGTTGGCCTGCACGAGGCTAGTTTTAGGCGAAGGGCACTCCATCATTGAACGCGTCCGCCCCGTCCTCGCCCAAAAATAAACCTGACAGCAGATTTCGGGTCTCATCGTCAGCCCCCGATTCGGAGTTGGATGGCAAAGTGCAGCCCTCCTCGTCGCTCAGTGAACTGCCGCTGAGCCCGATCTCCGCTGGTGGCTTCGACTTGGTTGTGCAGGCCGTTTTGTCACTGGTCTTAGGGTCCAGTGATGTTCCTGCTGCCTCGGTGTCCATGGCACCGGTGTCTGCGGCTTTTGGATGGTTTACCGCCTCTTTACTCGGTGGAGTATCATAAAATTTACCTCCACGACCCTAGAATTTTACGTAGACCGCCCCACATACACATGCGAGACGGCGTCCGGCTTTCAACAGGGTCGAGATATGATACTCCGGCACCGAAACAACGAGGGACCATCCTTCCGTCTGTTTGTCGGCCTTGAGCAGCAGCCAGTCTTTTACATTTACCCAGCGGTTCTGGTATGTCAGCACACGACCAATGTCGCGTGAGTCTTTCCAGGCCTTCTGGGCGTCTGGGATGTGGGTACCACAGTTGTCCCTTTATGGTATCTCCGACTGCTTCGTTATGACCAGCGAGGTGTTGGACGTGAGGTCAAAGGTAGCTATGTTCCCCTTCAACCAGTCTAAAGCGTTTTGGTCGTCGCACCACCACTTTATGACACCCTGCAGGTAAACGGGTTTGCCTCAAAAGATTGGGCCCGACGCCTCAGGCCCAATCTTTCAAGGCTACTCTAAGCTTCACTGATCATTTTGCTCTGGATAGATACGAGGATGTCGTCATGTGATGTGTCCTGTACACGCACACGTTAGGGTCACACACAATTCAGCTTTAACTGCAGAAGCATAGCTGGTCTTTCCTTCTCGGCGAGGTGGTCTCGTCTAACCTTCTTTTGGCTGCTCTTTCTTTCTTACCAGGACGCTTGACCGCTCTCTGCTTCCTGGCGGATTTCTTGGAACTTTGGCAGGATTTTTATCCTTTCCAGTTTCAGTACGACTACTGGGTCCAGGTCCAAGCACCTTAGGAGCAGCAGCTTGCCCAGCCTCTTCAGCCCTTTCTTTACGGGCTTTCTCTCTCTGCTTCCCGTTCTTCTTTACCCTATTTCCGCTCCCTGGCTGGATAGATCCACTTGATGGTCCGTCGGGTCGGTTCGGTCCTTTTTGGGTGCCTTGCCTTTCCCTTTACGGCTCACCATTTGCCAGGCAGCTGAGAAGAAGAGGTCTTCCATTCTAAGGGATTCCTTTGGAGTAATTCTACTCGAGGTTCCTTATTCCCTATCCATATCCAACTCCGAAGAATTGGTTTTAGGAGCCTTCAGCGCGGAAGTTCCCTTGAAAGGGCCACCTACGCTGGATGACGTGCTCTGAGGAGTCGCCATTTTACTGTCAGTTTCTCCTTGAATCTGGTAGTCACCTCTGACACCTCTCCTTCTTTATTTTTTAGTTTAGGCCTTATGTCGTCCATTATTAATTTAGTTTAAAAATTCGTCCCCTCGGCTTACCACCCTCCATGGAGCCAGCACCTTTGGGAACGCCCTACTTTGAAACAAAAGGAATTGCAGGCGTTACGATTACCGGGGGAATATAGGAACGCGAAGTTGGCTCACAGCGCGACATCGGGAGCTCGATCAACTTGGCAGACAGGGCTGAAAAGGCCCATCCCCGCTGCCTGAATGACTGTCACTTCCTCCGTCAGCATGGCCTTTACCACTACCTAGCACCCTTTCAGGAAACTAGGCAGCCCCCACATCTCTCGCCTGCGACCCTCTGACGGGTTGCTTGGCCATTTCCCTACCTGTGGCTAGTAGATGGGGCCACCATTTAGCTTGAAATCCGGACCAAAGAGGGCGTGTTGCCTCTCGCCACTATATACCCCAGAGACGATTGGCTCAACCCTCCAGAACATATTCATACCCGCGTACGGCGCTCGACTGCGCAAGTCCTAGCGCAGGTGGGTGTGTTAATCCACTAGATACACCCACTCCCTCCGGCGGAACCACCCCTCCTCCTTTCTCATCCGGGCGTACGAAAAGAGCTGCTAGACCAATTAACAATCAGCGTTCGGAAACGTTTCTTCTAGTACAGTGCTAAGATACGTTTCCTATTCGTTCATCGTTCGCGAACTACACAAGACTAGTTGCCAGGTGTACCCGATTTGCGAGGGACGTCCCCCCATTTTCAAGGGTCTGGTCATCATTCATCATTACAACCTTTCATAAGTCCACTGCTGAACATAGGCCTCCCCCAAGGAATGCCACAAAGCACGGTCCTGAGCCACCTGCATCCATCGACTTCCTGCATGTCTTACCAGGTCGTCACTCCATCTCGTGGGGGGTCGCCCTACACTTCGCCTACCGGTACGAGGCTGCCACTCAAGAACCTTTCTTCCCCATCGGTTGTCGGTTCTTCGAGCTATATGGCCGGCCCACTGCCACTTCAGCTTACTAATCCGTTGGTCTATGTCGGTCACTTACGGCCAGCAGTGAAGGACCACGTCTCAGATCCGTAAGTCATCACTGGCAACACGCACTGGTTGTACAATTTCGTTTTAAGGTTTTGAGGAATGTCTGACGAGAAGATGTGTCGTAGTTTCCCGAACGCTGCCCAGCCGAGTTGAATCCGTCGATTGACCTCTCGGTCGAAGTTGGACTTACCTAGTCGGACTATTTGTCCCAGATAAACATACTCGTCAACAACTTCGAGCTTAGTGCTCCCAACAACTACCGGCATAGGTGTGACATGGACATTGAACATGATCTTTGTTTTTTAGGGGTCTGGTGACACGTCTCAATTCACACTTGATAGATACACCAAATGATCCCGTTTTTTCACTAATAATCTTTAGTCTGTACTTCGATCACTAATTATGACAACAAAAATGAATACATCTGTAAGCTGTTACTGTGGCTGTTACTACATTAAAATATTTTATTATTAAATATTTAGTATTTTTCATATTTTCTCACCAAACTCAGAGTAACTAATTAACATAAAGAGTTTTAAACTTAACATATTGTGTTTGCAATATATAGATATCATTCATGCTGTGTCGTTCTTTTTTTTTACTGAGCGCCTTCAATTCGACAATCATTTATTATTCCATTCTTTTACTGGTAATTAGAACAGTGCCTAACTTATATGCTGCAGCTCAGATAAGTACTTTTCGTAAAATGCAAGTCTTGTGGGTAAAGTCTACCACGAGTCCATATTTTCAAGTGCTTGTATTTTTTTTTATAGAATAAGGGTGACAAACGAGCACACAGTCCACCTGATGGTAAGTGGTTGCTGTGGCCCATAGACATCTACTTCTCTCTTCGGTTGCGAATTAAAATGCAGATGCGTTGTCAGCCGTGAGGACTAAGATAGAATGCCTCTTTTCCAGTAAAAAGGGTCTCCAGTTCTCTACACTCACCACACGAAACACAGCAGCATTAAGCTGCTATTTTACGCTGGTATTCTGTGAGAGCATGGTCCTTCCCCGGTCGAGCCGACCCATTCGTGCTACAACCATAATAATATAGCTACAGCATGGCTCTACCACGTACAAAAACTGTTGTATGTATTGTTGTCTTCAATTACATTATTCGTGTAATGCAAGGATTTTATGTAAGTGTTTGAAATAGTTTAATTATGAATTAATGCATTATACTGTCTGCTTTTTCTTGTAGTGTTTTCAGAATGTGATTAACGAATATGCAGTTTTTCTAATGTTTGGAAGAAAAATTATTCATTCATTAGATCAGTCTCAAAAACAGTTTTAAAGCACATTGTGAGAAAAAGACTTAGTATAACTCACAGCGGCCAAAATGGCTACAACAACCTTGTTTCTTTTTTGTAGTGATTGTAGCTGTCCCGATTTGTCAACCAAATTCTGCACTATTTTTACCTTCCGTCCCGAAATTTGACGCACTGGACCTGGCACCCTCCCAGCAACACCTATTCTTTGCTTGTATAAAAAAGACTGCCATACACAGAATAACAAAATTGTAACCTCTTTTAAGCAGAAGTGATGATTATGTTGTGAAGAGGCTACTATGTCACTTTATGATAAGCACTGGATATTATTAGGATTAGGATTTGTTTGTTTTACTTTTACCAGTGTCAAGTAATAAGATATTATCAAATATATTATATATATATATTTTTGTTTTGTATAAAATATCCTTCACAATTAACTATTTTATATGAATGACTAGCTGTTCCCCGCAACTTCGCCCGCGTGTAACTTTTTAATTTTTTTGCGTCGAACCCTAATTCTTTTTCTAAAATTAAAGTAGCCTAAGTTACTCCTTATAACAGCTATTGGCCAGTTCAAAGTGAATTCCCTAATAAAACCAAATCGAACGAACTACAAAAGTTCTCCAATAAAAAAGCGTGGAACTTGTATATTGATTAAAATTTAGGTATCACAATTTGCATATTTCATATATTTTGCTGTTATCTTGTATTTACTTCTTACTGCTTTCTGTGTTCTGAAGTTGTTACTTTATAAAGTTGTCCTTTCTTACAGAGAAAAGTTGACTTAATAACAGGTGCGAACCCTGCAAATTTAGAGGCTAAGATTAGACAATATTATGGAACTGAAGAGGCAGGTGATGAGGATAGTGCTGTTCCTGGACAGGTTAGTAATTAAAAAGCAGTGGTAGGAGCTGTAGACCCCCACATTAGAATTTTATTCAATTGTAACCAGTTGCTATAATACTAAAAAAATCATTTGAGAACAAGTATAATTGATGTTATTCAACATAAACTATTAATTTGTAATTACTCTGAATTTCTTACATGTTAGAAATTTTATTATGATTAATTACAGTTAGATTATTAAAAACTTCTAACAATAATTACTTAAATATAATTTATGGTACAGTGGATAGCGGTAAACATTTTAAATAAAAGCCTTATTCTGTTTCATGTGTTATATAGATGGATTTGGCAACATTTATCACCAAGAGTGAATGTGAATGTTTAAATGAGTCTGATGATCATCCACTAGCTCATGCTCTTAACAGTGGTGGGGGGTACTTAGCCAGTGACTGTGATGAACAATTGATTATAAATATTACTTTTAATCAGGTAAGTTACTTAGTAATAATGCTCACTTTTAAACACATTTAATGTGTATCTTGCAGTGTTATGTAAAATTATTAAATTTTTAATAACAAAAACCATTGGAAATACAAATTAATTTCCTTGAACTTTAATTTCCTTGAAGGGGAAACAACATTGTCATATTTAGTAAACAAACTCATGTAAAAAGACATCTCCAGGGCCAACGTATCCTTAACAATAAGTTCTGATTGTCCCCGGAAGATATCACCAGGATCTCGAGGAAAATTAATAAATCATCATCATTATGCATACAAGTGGTAAAATTAAAGATTTTGTACAACTCACTTCAATGTACTTGAAGTTTAAGTAGTATTAAAGTTAGTAGAATTAAATACGCATTATTAAGAATAAGCTCAAAAACTACTGGTCAGATCTTGATCAAATTTATGTGACCAAATGAAGCACCAGCTTTCAAATAAAAAAAAATCATCGAAATCGTTTCACCTAGAAAAAAAGGTGAGGTAACCTCCTTTTTTTGAAATTGGTTGAAAAGTGATTAAATCTTCCAAAATTGGAAGGGAAACGTGCAATTTTAAATTCGATGATCTCTAACACCACTGTTTTACCTGATGGACTTCATATGTCTAGGTTGGTACCAGTCTTACCTATTTCTGCTGCCAAGCATTTATAGTCAGAAGTCAGTATAATAATTGAAACTTATTCTTATTTTCCACCAATATGGGTAAAATTAAGCAGGAGATGGACGGCAGCATCCTCTCGATATCAACCGAAAGGCAATATATGGCAGAGGCCTATGTTTAGCAGTGGACTTTTGAGAGACAGGTTGCAATTAATAAATGAATAAGAAGTATTCTTCTTATTTTACTTTATGGCTTCTCTAAATAGAATTCTGCTAATGTAAAGTCAATCATGGGAATGTATTAAATGAATGAATTCATTAGTCTCAATACAATTACATTGAAGCCCATATCACACATATGCCGATAGTTTTTGGGAGCACTGCTCTCGAAATTGTTGATAAGAATTTTTAAAATTACAGCCTATATAGGTCCCCCACTGCTGGGCACATACCTCCTCTTATTTCTGAGTAGGTTTCAGGGCAAGGAAATATCCGCCACGCTGCCTCAATGCGTGTTGGCAAAGATATGCAGGTTTCCTCGTGGTAAATATAAACGTAACGTAAATGTGGTAGAGCCACGCTGCAGTTATATTATGGCTGTAGCACAAATGGGTCAGCTCGGCTAGGATAGTACTTCGCTTTCACAGAATACCAGCGTAAAATAGCAGCTTGATGCTGCTGTGTTTCGTATGGTGAGTGTAGAGAACCGGAGACCCTTTTTACTGGAAACGTGTCATCCATCTCAGCCCTTAGGGGTGACAACGCATATGAATTATGATTCTTAATTGAAGATAAATGTAGATGTCACTAGATGGAGTGACGACCTGGTAAGAAATATAGACAGTTCATGACCATGCAGAGGCATTCCTTAGGGGTAGGGCCTATGTTAAAAAGTGACCCTGTGAAAGGCTGTAATGATGATGCATAATTTTGTACAGTATCTATTTATTTTAATATGCAAAAATTAATGTTTCAGCTGGTTAAAATACACTCTCTGAAAATCAAAGCACCTGCTGACAAAGGTCCCAAGTTTCTAAAACTTTTCATTAATCAACCAAGAACACTTGACTTTGATCAGGCAACTGGAAATATATCAGTGCAAGACTTAGAGTAAGTCAAGTTGAATGTTTTTATTCTAAGAGTATTACATGGTTGTCCCATGCTTATTTATTGATAGAATCAGGCGTTACTTTGCGGAACAACCCCATGCTTATTAATTTTTTGCTTAATATCAATAAATTGGCCCGACATTTTATCTATTCTTTCATCGACAAATTTGTATACCTATATTAGGTAAAAATAGTTTGTCACTTAAATAGTCTGATGACATCGATTTTATCATACAATTTTCCCAAAAAATGTTACCAGCCGAACTTTTTGGAAGGTATGAGAATTTGTAACATGCATAAATGTTGTAATCTTTTAACATCAGTTTTCCTTTTACAGGTTATCACCTAGTGATTTGGAAGGCAACCCAGTGCCACTTAAATTCGTCAAGTTCCAGAGTGTTCAAAATATTCAAATATTCATAAAAGACAACCAATCTGGTGGTGATGTTACACAGATTGATCACCTCGCGTTTTATGGCTCACCTATTTCTACCACCAATATGGGAGAATTTAAACGCGTCGCTGGCAAAAAAGGCGAGAGCCATTAATAAAAAATTAAATTAATAATAATATAATCTTGGTTAACAATTAAATCAATGTTATTTGTAATGATAAACTGGTTATAATTCTTGTAATTATTGTACCATATTTGAATATCTATGACTTTTATCAGTAATTAATAAATCTAATAAAAATAAACCTTGGTTCTTAAAACGAATTTAGATTCGTGCATGGGCTGCAGTAGCCACTAACCATCTGGTGGCTTGACTACTGATAAAGGGTGAAACTCCAATTTTTTATTTTTTCTAACTGGAAAGTATTATTTTCAGATGGTAGAAGAATGGAAAGTATTAATTTTACAGTTTTGGATAAAAGAAATTATCCAAAACTGTAAAATTAATAATCAATCTGAGCTGCATAAACATATAAATTGCTTTGTAGTTAACAAATAGACCATTTTAAAGACTTGTCAAATACCAGTTATAATATATAACAGTTTTAATATATTTTGTCACATATAAAGTAATGGTAGATAAGTGAATTATTTTGTAGATTTAAAAATCACACCTTATAAAAATACATCTATTCAAGATGTGATTTTTTAGTCTGATACCTTCTGAATTTTATATTCTGGAGAAATAAATGCTATTTAAGTATGTCTTTACATTTATTAAATTTTATACATTTCAGTCCTGCTTCAACTCGTATATTTGTATATAAGCTTCTGTGAGTGTGATCATTTGAGGTAATATGCTAGTTACATGGAGATCTTGCATTTCATACCTGGAACAAAAAACAACATTTTCAAGAAACATATATGAACATAGGACTTCCCAAAGTGGGAGAAACTATGTTTAGTAATAATGGATTACAAGATCACCTATTTTTAAAAGTACCAATATGATGTTTTAACTAATGGGATTATGTACGATCGGGGAAAGAAGCTTAACCCAACCCCCCCCCCCTCCCCCCCCCCCATCACGGTATAAATGCCAAAATTTTCATAAAATAAACTAAAATTAATTTATTTCACTTTTGATCCATAAGAAGGTTAATACAAAATATGAACTTACAAATTATGTTAGTAAAACAGAATAAAAGCTACATTATGACATTTTGTCTGTGCGCGGAAACAGAATAGTAAAATAACATGCCATTAAAAAGTAACGAGCTACCAAAGATTCGTTTTGATTGCCAATTTAAACACAACTTTGGACGTAAATTAGTAATAAAAGAAGTGTAAAATTGCCAAAAAAAAGTTGGTACTAGCATAGCTCAATTATCGAAGAATTCAATAAATTTTATTTGTAATTGATTTATGCAGTGGTTTTTCATAAAACTCGATTTTCCAAGAGCTTTTTAGTATTTTTATACGCGCGTGTTTTACTATGAATTATCGAGCATCTCAATGAATAATGTTTCCCTTGATGCGGTGAGGGAGGACAACGCTCACGCACACATACACGCGCACTTATTCGAGTTTTATTCGACTCAGCTGCTGCGGCCTATGTCGTTCGTTCAAGGCTCAAGGCCAACTAATGATAACAAAACGAAAGTTTTGCTATTTTGTTATTTGGACGCCAAATGGCATAGAAATTGATATAATTGATAGAGATGATGCGTTTTGTACGACAGATAAAATTTTAAAATTAGATATCTTTTATCAGAAATGTGTTTCAACGGAGCTGATAGACCCCGTTACCCTCGCAAACTACAATTTAGAGCAGAGTATAATAAGTATATACAGGAAAAGAGAGCCCTCTGACCATATTTTATTGCAGACAAAATTGAATTGGTATTTACTATATAATCGATCGACGTCGACTAATGGCTTCGATCGATGATCGATCGATTGGTGTGGTGTTAACACCCCTACGCAGGTAGCAAGAGTGATACAGGCCTTCCCCGGCCTCACAGAATGAATACATTGATATATTTACTGGTACACGCGATAATCTTAACCGCCACTACGCGTGCCGTGTAGTGGCAGTTAAGAATATCCACTACCCCATATCTTCCCGTAGGTGTCGTAAAAGGCAACAAAGGGAAACAGGCAGGAGATGGGCAGCAGCATCTTAATGATAACAACAAACTTACAATAAAAAAACTGCGGTTGCCAACCCGCTCGCCAAGCGTGGCAACTATGGCAAATACCCTCCTATGAATGAATTTAACAAAGAGACGGCCCCCAGTCCCCGGCGGGGCAGGGGGTGCTAAGAATCTCCGGTGGAGGTTCGGTTGCCACCTAAGACGACTCGACCTGGCAACATACAACGCACGCACCCTGAGGACTGACGAGAAGATCGTGGAGCTGGAAGAAGAAATAGACAAGTTACGCTGGCATATTATAGGATTATCCGAAGATAGGGGGAGGACATGGTAATCCTCGAATCCGGCAACTTGTTCTATAACCGGGAGGGCGACCATCTGTCCCAAGGAGGTGTCGGATTTATAGTCCACAAGTCTCTCGTTAACAACGTTGTAAAGATTGAGTGTGTCGACGAGGGTTGCGTACCTTATACTCAGAATCACCAAACGGTATTCGCTGAAGGTCATACAGGTTTACGCACCAACCTCGGCACACCCCGATGAGGAGGTGGAGGAAATGTATGAGGATATCTCTAGAGCCATGCATTCCTCCAAAACCCAATATACGGTATAAATGGGAGACTTCAATGCAAAACTAGGCACAAGAGAGAACGGTGGGCTGAAAGTAGGAAAATTTGGAATAGGGCAACGGAACCCAAGGGGCCAGCAGCTGGCCGACTTCATGGAGAAAGAGAGACTCTTTATGATGAACTCTTTTTTCCAGAAGCGGCCCCACAGGAAGTGGACCTGGTCGAGCCCCGACGGTTCCACAAAAAATGAGATTGATTTCATTATGATGACCAGACGACAACTGTTCAGTGATGACTCCGTGATCGCGAGGGTGAAAACCGGCAGCGATCACCGAATGGTTAGAGGCACACTGAACCTAAAGGTTAAGTCGGAGAGGTCTCGTCTAATGAAGTCAACTCTCCATCCCCCTCGTGCTCTGTTCCAAAGTCCCGAAACCTTTCAGCTCGAGTTACAAAACCGTTTTCAGTGCCTAGAAGACTGCAATGAAGTGGACGATATGAATGACAAGCTCGTGGAAACTGTCCATGCGGTCGGAGCTAAGTTCTGCAAGACTCGCCGCAAAAGAACACAAAAACTCTCCGATCACACTCTCAATCTCATGGCTGTTAGACGGGAGATGAAGCTACATTCTTTAACAGATTTGACAGCATACAGGCAACTGAACAGACAGATCTCCAAATGCAAGCGGCGGGACTTACGCAACTTCAATACAGCTTGTATTGAAGAAGCGATCGAGCGGAACCAAGACTCCAAAGTCTTTGCCAGAGATCTGTCTGCCAGAAAGAGCCAACTGTCGAAGCTGAAGACCGAGTGTGGCAGCATCGTTTCCGGGTCACCTGAGATTTTGAGTGAGATTGAGTTTCTATGGGCAGCTGTACACGTCATCGTTGGAGCCACACGCAAGTGTGAGTAACGATCCAAGAGCGAGTCTTATCCGACACTATTCCGAAGATATCCCGGATGTCACTCTGAGCGAGATTAGAATGGCTCTCCAGCTCTCCTTAAAAACGGCAAGGCCCCAGGCGAGGATGGAATTACAGCAGAGCTTCTGAAAGCAGGCGGAAGACCAATACTTGAAGTCCTTCAGAAGCTCTTTAATTCCGTCCTCCATGGTGGCATACACCAGAGGCGTGGAGCAGAAGTGCGGTGGTCTTGTTCTTCAAGAAAAGTGACAACGCTCTCTTGAAGAACTACAGACCGATTTCCCTTCTGAGCCGCGTCTACGTGCTGTTTTCGAGAGTCATTACGAATCGTCTCGCGCGCAGACTTGACGACTTCCAGCCTCCCGAACAAGCCGGTTTCCGAAAGGGCTTTAGCACCATAGACCACGTACATACCCTTCGGCAAATTGTACAGAAGTCTGAAGAGTACAATTTGCCACTATGTATGGCGTATGTGGACTATGAGAAAGCCTTTGATTCCGTCGAAATTTGGGCGGTGCTGCAGTCCCTTCAGCGGTGCCAAATTGACTGTCGGTATATCGAAGTGCTGAAGTGTTTATACAGGAGAGCTACGATGGTTATCCGAGTGCAGAACCAGAGTACGAAACCTATCCAATTGCAGAGAGGTGTAAGACAGGGTGATGTTATATCCCCGAAACTCTTCACTGCTGCATTGGAAGATGTTTTCAAGCTTCTGGACTGGAAAGGATACGGTATTAAAATCAATGGCGAGTACATCACTCACCTTCGATTTGCCGACGATATAGTCCTTATGGCAGAATCGCTGGAGGACCTAAGCACCATGCTCAATGACCTCAATAGTGTCTCCCAACGAGTAAGTCTTAGGATGAACATGGACAAAACAAAGATCATGTTTAATGTCCATGTCACACCTATACCGGTAGTTGTTGGGAGCACTAAGCTCGAAGTTGTTGACGAGTATGTTTACCTGGGACAAATAGTCCGACTAGGTAAGTCCAACTTCGACCGAGAGGTCAATCGATGGATTCAACTCGGCTGGGCAGCGTTCGGGAAACTACGACACATCCTCTCGTCAGCCATACCTCAAAACCTTAAAACGAAATTGTACAACCAGTGCGTGTTGCCAGTGATGACTTACGGATCTGAGACGTGGTCCTTCATTGCTGGCCGTATGAGGAAGCTCAAGGTCGCTCAACGAGCTATGGAGAGGGCTATGCTCGGGGTTTCTCTGCGTGATAAACTTAGAAATGAGTATATCCGCAGTAGAACCAGAGTAACCGATATAGCCCAAGGGATTAGTAAGCTGAAGTGGCAGTGGGCCGGCCATATAGCTCGAAGAACCGACAACCGCTGGAGAAGAAAGGTTCTTGAGGGGCAGCCTCGTACCGGTAGGCGAAGTGTAGGGCGACCCCCCACGAGATGGAGTGACGACCTGGTAAGACATGCAGGAAGTCGATGGATGCAGGTGGCTCAGGACCGTACTTTGTGGCATTCCTTGGGGGAGGCCTATGTTCAGCAATGGACTTATGAGAGGCTGTAATGATGATGACACGCAATAAAATAAAAAAGGGCAATGAGCCATAAGACGGTACCCTCTGCCACACTAGCCGTGAATTTCAGGCAATATCAGGGGACAGGGGGCACCAACCTTTACGCCGTCCACTACCATCTAGAAACTGCAAAACCAGCCTTGCTTTTTCCGAGACCCAAGTGTCTTCTCAGGCTGATTTTTGAATTTGATTGTGACTAGTAGCAGGCGTTCATTATTTACTGTTTAGGTATTCATTATGCATCACATGATCATTTTATTGTTTATTATTTTAATATTTGATATGTAATTTATCGGTTTACAAGATACTCTTTTTCAAAAATTTCCTGATTAGCAGGGGGGAGGGGGGCTGTGGCAGTACTCTATAGTCTGACAGATTTGCTAATGCGATACCGCCTTGCAAAAAGTTTGTCAGATTAACGTAATCAGCTTACAACTATGACTATGCCCGAGTCTACGGGTGTCTTTATAGATCCCACAGCAGTAATGCAAAGAACGACTATATCGACGACTTCCAACTGGTTACATCCACAGAGGTCGAGCAGCTTGGTCTGACACATTTGGTTAATTTGGTCACGCAACTTAAATATGACACATAAACTAAAGACACGGCCCCCAACATGTACAACACAATGCACCCCCTACCCGCCCCCCTGAGGACTGGACAAAAAGATCCTGGAACTGGAGGAAGAGATATACAAATTGCATTAGGATATTATACGATTATCTGAGGTCCGAAGAAACGCGAAAGACACGGCAATCCTCTAATCGGGCATTTGTTCAATCACCAGGAGAATACTTATTGGATAGTCATCATAAGTGAGTATTTCAAAAGTATAGGCACACTGATTCACCCACATTTAATCAAAAACAAGATTGAAAACAATTGGCTATTATATGAGTAAATATGGAAACTTTACCATTGTTGTGTAGGCGTGTGTAAAACATGTGCTCTGTAAGTTCCTTTCTCAGGTGTACCATCATGTACTATATTCCCTACTAACTCATAAATTGTTTTCCCTTTATGTTTAGCTTTTATTTCTGATGTTAATATATCGCCGAAGTCAACATTCCTGAAAGAGACGAAATTAAGTGTTTAAATCAAATGCACATACCTTATTCAAACAAGCACAATATGATAAACAAGAAGTTATCTAAAAAAAGCATAATAGGAGTCGGATCCGGATCTCAACCAGATGGTAGCCCCAGCCATCTTCTCTATTGAAATAAGGATGTTTTTTAATTACAATAGCCTCGCGAATCATTCTTGGTAGGAATCGGCATTCTATTGCGAGTAGTCGTATTAGGCTTTTATTATTTAAAAAATTTGGGACCATAGGTCAGTCAGTCAGTCCTCTAGACCGATTATCGACCATGGCAGTCTATCTCAACTGAGACTAGCATCTGTTACATTAGCTTCCCCCATAGATTGCCTCATAAGAGGTTATTTGCCATAGTTGTCACGCTTGGCAGGCGAGTCGGCAACCACAGTTATATTTTTTTTAGTTGTTCTTTGGAAGATGCTGCTGCCCATCTCCTGGTTTGCTTCCTTCTGTCGCCTCTTATGAAACCCATGGAACGATAACATGGGGTAGTGAATATTCTTACAACGTCACTAGTCTGTAAACCTATCATAAGTAGGTTCAAATTATAACTAAAAATTATTAGGCTAGCTAGACCAATGAGGTAGCAATAAACCTAATATTTAAATAGTTTCAAATTGTAATTGAAAATTATAAGACAAGCTAGACCAATGAGGTAGCAATTAACCTAATATTTAGGGAAATTCAAATTGAAATAGAAAATCATTCCGCAAGTCGAAAGTTTACTTATAACTTACAAAAATAATGCTTTCCATATACTTACTTAACAGGAAAGTTAACTACGGTTGGGTTCTTCTCTACAAAAAAAGTATTTTTCGTAAAACGTTTTATATACAATATAAGATATGGTGGTAACTGTGTTATTTCAAATCTCTTTAAGAAATTTTCTTTATAGGTTTTGTACTCTTTTGATGTTTGACCATTGAACTTTGAAAGTAATTGATACAGATTTACCTGTAAAAAGACAATTCATAGATTATAAATAATAATTCTTTTGCAAGTGTTGAAATGTCTAGTTAGGTTAATGTACCTGAGGTATAATATTTTCCCTAAACTCATCTGTAAAAAGAGGGGTCGGTGGTAGATCACAAGTCAAGTACAAAAACGGCGATTCTGTTATCATTTCGGCATACTCCTCACTGTTAAGATCAATTTTAGCAGCATCGTCAGCATCTGGTGGTGGCAACTTTCTACAAATCATACATTAATAATAAGTATAATTGAAATAATATAATTACCTAATTTTTTGTAAATATGTATGCTGTTAGTCTTGCAAATAAAAAAAATACTAAGTCAACTTTAAAAAAATCAGTAAAAATAGACTTCATAGGATTAAAAAGAATAAAATAATTAGTCGCCCTATACTTTTTATAAACTTCATCCCAATTTTGCCACACTCAGTGATGGAATTTTTCTCAACTTTTTATAAGGCGACCACCACTGAAGTAACTTAGCCCCAGCGCAGCAACTGATTGCTAAGCCACTGCGCCACGGAGCCGTCAGTGAGTGAATTGAAAACGGAATCAATTTCAATAACAATTTCGGGAGTAAGCCAACAGGTCTTAGTACAATAATAAATACAAAGCTGATTTTTAAGCTATAACTGGTAATTATTTTTACATTATGCCAAAACACAAGTTGATATCAGATTATTAAACAACATTTTATTTAGCACAAGCTTACCTTGTATATATTCTCATATGACCAAGAAATGACTTGTAGATTATCGAGCTATTAGGCTTTTTCGTACCATTAAGTGCCATGTGCAGGGAATTCAAAAACCATGACAAGAAATCAATAGGATCACCTATAAAATAAAATATTATCATTTAAATAATCTGTAAATAAAAAATATGGCTAACCCTGCTAGCTAATCCTGGAATTCCGGCTTATTTTCGAGCGCAATGCTCGAAATAATATTGAAATTTTTTTTTTGTTTTTATTTTTTGAAAATCTTTGAAACGGTTCAATCGATTGACTTGAAAATCTAATCAGCTATAAGTCTCAGCAGACACACGTGCGCACGCACGCACGCAGTTAGTTCAGTTAACAATTTCAACAATGGCAGTGTGAAATAAACTAAAGTTGCTTGCGCACAGTGCAGTTAAATGTGTAGCTCCAGAATTATAATGATTGTGCTATATTAAAAATAATATAAAAAGATAATGCTGTAGTAAATCAAATAAAAATAAAAAGTATTAGTCTTACTTTGTTTAATAAATTGAAATCTTTTCTTAGACCAAAGGACCACAGCTTGTAGCATTTCATGAGGTGATACATGAGCTTTAAAAGCACGTGGGTTCCATAACTTTCTCAGTAGCTCTCCAAACCGCTGCACCAACAAAAAAGAGGAATCTCCTGGAGGTCTCTTTATGTTTGCATAATTTTCCTCACGCAAAAAATAGTTACGAAGTGGCCGAACTTGTGCAAGACACTAAAAATATTATACCACATTTACTTAAATGTCAGCTGTGTTATGATTAATTATCATTTTATAATTAGGTGGAGTATTTTTTCATGAAAATAACGTTCATTGGATTTAATATTTATTAAATCTCAACAAATAAAAAGTTCATTTTAAAGATTTGTATCACTAACTTTGCTCAGGTTATAACTATTTTTCTAAAAAGTGTACTATCATAATCTTTCAGAAGTTCAAATCAACCGCTACCTTAAATATAAATAGTACTTGAGACTGATTGGTTATCGATGGCTTCTTCAAGGGTGCTGGGTTCACATCTTAGTAAGAGAAAACATTTGTACACAAAGACAAATATTTAATATTCAGATCTAGTAGTATTGTAATAAAAAAAAATGTAGTATAGTTGTAGCACGAATGGGTTAGCTTGACTGGGGAAGGACCACACTCTCACAGAATACCAGTGTAAAATAGCAGCTTAACACTGCTGTGTTTCGTATGGTGAGTGTAGAGAACCGGAGACCCTTTTTACTGGAAAAGAGGCATTCCATCTTAGTCCTCATGGGTGACAATGCATCCGCATTTTGATTCAGAAATGAGGATAAATGTAGATGTCTATGGGCCACAGCAACCACTTACAATCAGGTGGACTGTATCATCGTTTGTCACCCTATACTATAAAAAAAATGTAATTGTCCTCCACACATTCCTGACTCTACATCTTACACTATATTTAATATATAATATTTAGTTATATACTACAAGCCTTAGATATAATATATATCCCATCCCATCCAACTCCAATCCAACATCACACATACTTTAGTTGATGACGGGCTATTTTCTGCATCTCTATATGTAAGCGCATATATAGCATGTGGGAAACCCACCACACATAATTGTTTTAGAGTTTGGGTACTTGCCCACCACATCATCCTAGGGTGGAAATACCATTAAAAATTAGAAGTAACATTCTCAGTTATGCATATTGTATACCATTATTTAGTGTAATTGCAATACAATTTAGCAAAATTACATACCTGTAATATTACATTACAATAATCATTGGCTTTTATGTTGTTAAGTCCCACGATTCCTGGCATATACATAGTACCATCAATAGCTCTAGACATCTTTGTATTAAAGTCTAGCTGTTTAATCTGTTCTGGAGTAAATATTGGATTCAAGACATATTTGATGTCATTCAATGAGGAATCTAAAAGAAAATAACCATTTATTCTGTAAATAGACAAAAATAACAAAATTTTAAATATCAGATTTCGTCATGTGCCATAAAATTATTTTAAAATTACCTATAACTTCATAGTTATCCGGCAAACAGTAAAATTTCAAAGTATGCAGATTAAGAAAAACATGATGCCCTTCAGCTACGGAATGTGTATAGGCATGTGTGTTAGTACCTCTACCCTGAAATAAAATTTGAAAAATTTAGAGAAAATTGTCCTCATAATACATAAAAACTATATGCAGTAGAAGGTCGATTAACCGAATAGAAATAAAAAATTACAACCAAGTACTGTGAGTAAGTATTTCTTATATTTATTTATTTAATCTTATTTGTTGACACCTTAATAACAAGGGTAACAAAGGGCGGACTTAATGCCTAGCGGCATTCTCGGCCAGTCAATTATATATATATATATATATATATATATATGTGTAGTATAGTAGTATAAGTTTTGTATATTATATGTATATCTTAGTATGTATATATATATATATATATATATATATATATATATATACATATAATATACAAAACTTTACTTATGTAAATATATGAACAAAATATGTATCATACATAGATATAATATATATGTTACATATAATAATAAAATACATATATTGTAATTACAAATAATAAAACATCTAAATGTGTCAAAATATATCATCATCATTCTTAACATCCTTATATATTAGTATATTATCTGCCGCGGCGCTGATGCTCTCTATGTCTCTCTCTTATAACACTTATGTATTGTAGAACTGTGTTTGTTAAACTTAATAAAGTTTATTCTATGTGTGACAGTTCGTTTTTCTTTATTACATGCTAGTCTATGTCGGATTATCAGAATTTTCGATTATCCGAATCGACCCCGGTCCCAATTAATTTGGATGATCGGCATTCTACTGTAAAACATTACAAACTAGAATTGGGTACATTATTTAATTCTTTAATAAGATATTACAGCCAGTTCTTCTGTAAGATATTTTGATAAACCTTACTATTCATCTTTAGAAAAGTATATTTAAAAAATTAAAGTATTATAATATACAGACCGTTTAGTTGGAAGTACAGTTAATAGCGCAAAATATGAGGAATGTTGTAGTTGTAATGGGAGTGTGTATAGTGTAGCAGAATATGAAACTTAGATACTTTTTTATAGGATAAGGGTGACAAACGAGCACACAGTCCACCTGATTAGACGGTGATTACTGTCGCCCATAGACATCTACATCTATCCTTGATTAAATATCAAAATGCAGAAGTGTTATCATCCGTGAGGACTAAGATGGGATGTCTCATTTCCAGTAAAAAGGGTCTCCGGTTCTTTACACTCACCATACGAAACACAGCAGCTTTAGTCTGCTATTTTACGCTGGTATTCTGAGAGTGTGGTTCTTCCCCGGTCAAGCTGACCCATTTGTGCAACAACTATACTACTAATATAGCTGCAGCATGGCTCTACCACATTAAACGATACTTACAGATTATAACTGATACTGAACTATATATGTTACCTGAAAATACTTTCCACAAACGAGACAAGCGTAAACATTAATTCTTGTCAATGATACTGAACACAGTTTTTCGAAATCAAAATCAAGGACATGTCTATTGATCGTATCTAAGTACGGACACTGCATATGTGCGGTTTTGGGTAAGGGTTCTGTAAAAAAATACAAAGCATGAATATCTTACAAAATGATGTCGGTCTAGGTTATAAACAAACTTCAAAAGATTCAAGACCTGAAACATCTATGCCATTTTCAACAGAGAGTTTTCTTTTTTTAGTGGTAATTTCTGACATTATTTTAAGTTAAGTATGCGACACAAATAAAAATATAATGTAAACTTCTGCCAAATCAACAATCAATCAGTATCACAGAACACTAATACCACAAACTATATAGAAACACTATTACCGGTGTTTCTAAATAGTTTGTGCACTATTAGGCATGAGACCGATATATCAAAACGTAACTAATAACGTTATGTTATCAAATATCATATCATATCGATAAACCTAAGAACATAACCGTTATCACATATCCAACCAAAACCCAAAATCAACTAACCAACGTACAAAACTTAAAATCTTAAAACGCAAACTGTGACAATATGCCAAAAACCGAAAACGGCCCAAAACCAAAACTAACCGATGTCCTTTGATATTTTTATATTATATTTTTTATATTTTTATATTTTTATATTTATTTTATATTATTTTTGATATTAATTTAATTTGATTTAATTTAATTTATTAATTTAATTTATAGTTTCAAAATAAATAAATAAACAAAAACAGGGAAGTGATTAATGTGTGGACAATTAATATTAACGTTTCGTTTATGGTTATGCATAATTTATATATGAACTTTAATATTTATATATGTATATATATATATATATATATATATATATATATATATATATATATATATATATATATATTTGATAATTATATAAGTATATATACACATATATATGTGTGTGCTCGTCTTGTATATATGTATATTAAATATATGTATAGTATAGATGTTTAGTATTAAATATAACACATAGAATACTTTATTATATTACAACTTTTATCATTTTTTGATTTAATTTTGTAAATTTGTTAAATTTGTAAAGTTGTTTACTTTTCTTTTGTTTCAACAATGAAAACATGCATAGTTCTTTTAGTATTACCCGTTCTTTTAGTACAACTCTGGGAGAGGCCGCTGACTCCTAAGATACAGACTCGTCTAGTTTAGGAGTCAGAGACTTCATAAAATTTCTTGTGATTTATTTTTGACAATAAAAGAATTATTATTATTATTATTATTATTATTCGTTGTTTCTCGTTCTAGCGACAGTATCATAAATACGTATGAAAGAGATGAAGCGAATATGGATTTCGTTGCGATGTTTTGGTTGTTATTATAAAACGGTGCACGTAGTGAAATATAATTATAAGGTTCTTAACAATAAGGTCGAATTTTAAATGGTTAAAATTGCCTAATTTTTTTTAAGTTTGTGTAGTTGTGAGAGTTGTCAGATTTAAATGATCTTTAGGACATTAGGCACTAGACTTAGATTTGTTTCATCACATTATATTTGGTTTAGGCAACTTTTGATGTGAAAGTTGAAATTTGATTTTTTTTCAAACGTAACAATTACGCACTTTATATTGGTGGCGTGTGCCGTTCACTATGAATCTATCTGTAAAATTATTAATTTTTGACATTGCGTTTGTGCATTTATTTGTAATATTTGTTTGCATTTTGTACATTTGTTTTAAAACTTTCCTGTCAGTCCTAAACCTAGTTAAGTATATGAAGGTAAATCGCCAACTTAAATAATCATTATAAAAAATAATGATTATTAATATAATAATAATAAATAAAGTATGTAGGTACCTATAATAATTTAATTATATAAATTATGTTTACTACTTATGAATACAGTTTAATTATAGACTTCAAAATCAAACTCTGATCCTACGTCTCACTTTAAAAAAATATGGGTATAAGGATTATAGACATAAATGGGAATAGAAAGAATGTAATTTTAGACATTTATAATATAATATTACTGCATAACAATCATAAATTATATATTAACATACATGTCTAAATATTCTAATCTAAGATTATTAGAGCCTCTGACTTCTAAACTAAAATAATCGAAGTAATTCGTAAAATAAATGTTGCACTCGTTCTAGAGTTTTCAGGCATAGATAAGCCACTGAAAAATAATTAGGTGACGAAACGAGGAAAGTTTCTTTTGCGCTTTTATAGATGGCATAGGGATTATAAATTACTGAAAATTACAATAGAGGGCGCTATCACCTAGGTTCAGTATTATTCGTACATATTTCAATAAAATTAAAAGGAAATCAATTTAATTTAATTTAAATATTATGTAACTAATTTGTTTTTTTGTTTCAAGTAAATATTTATTATGTTTGTTTGAGAAAACCATGGCGTAGAATTATTACTTATAAATATATATATATATATATATATATATATATATATATATATATTTATATATTTCGTATTTCAAAACTTTTCTAGCATGATTTAGGCTTCGGTATAAATAATAAATACACACAGTGGCGCCATCTTTTAATAGACTATGTAAAAATATCGGGAAAAATAGTACTTTTACTGTGAGATGGCACTAGTATCAATGTAAAGCAAGCTACTAAGGACTTTCATACCCCTGATTTTAGGTTATGTTTCGGTTGTAAACCATTACTACTGATATCGATATTTGAAAACGGTTTTCAATAACGATATGAAAACTAAATATCAGTTATGTAACCGTTGCAGCCAAAATCTGAAAACGCCCATGCTTATGCACTATTACTAATACCTTCCTTATATATTAGTATATAGTATAAAAATGGCTTTACGGCTCTGGGCTCTAGCCCTTCTGAGCATATTATAACTGTCCTATACAGGAACACTTAGCACTACGGAGCCGAGTAAGTCCAGTGCTGCCAACTCATAAAAGTATTTAATGCTAAATCCCTGTTTGTAAAATGGCAAAAATATGCTAAATACTGTTCTCCGCGACTTCACTCGCGTGTTAGGGTTTTTATGCTTTTGCGCGGAACCCTATTTTTTTTTCTAAAACAAAAGTAGCCTAAGTTACTCCTTATGAAATCAGCTACCTGCCAGTGAAAGTCCCGTCAAAATCGGTCCAGCTGTTTCGGAGATTAGCTGGAACAAACAGACAGACAGACAGACAAAAATTTTAAAAATTGTGTTTTTGTTATAAGTACCGTATATACTTTCATATGCAATTAGTAAAAAGCTGTAATTTTGACATTACAAACAAACACTTTTATTTATTTGTATAGATTTACGGAAAAGGAAAAGTCTAATACGATTTTAAATGTTTTATTTTACTAAATGGTACAATATTCATAGACGGTCAGTCCACAATATGCAGATAGTCTTCGATATCTTCTTAGTCAGGTGCCATCGGTGGGTCTGGAGCAGAAGACGAGGACGCATATACCTCATTTGACCCTATCTTTCGTAATATTGGATCAGGTATGTCGTAGGAGTCTCAGCATTTGTTTACACTTTTCAGTCCAAATCTTACGTATAAAATTGCGTTTAATGTTGTTAAAGACAAACTGTTTCTCAGTTTTGTTTTAACCAAGTTAACTTGGTTGAGTACACGCTCAATATCAGCGTTCGAATGTGGCAGCGCAGCAACATTAATGGAAATCCAGCCAGTTCCAAGAAAGGACTGTTTCCTGCAGCGTCCTTGAAGTCCAGAACTTCACACCAAAATTCAATGGTGGATGAAGTACACTGCCACTGCATACGATCAATATTTCGCCATTGTGATACAAGTTTATCGAATTTTGTTTCATCCGTAGTAAACTCCTGCGCTATTTCTACAATGTCTGGTTTTAAAACCTATTAAAAAAGCAAATTCATTTTCTGTATTACTGCAAGGTTCCATCTGGTATTGCTTAACTGAGAGATTTTTAGGGGTTTTGATCCAGAGTTCATTGTTTTAAATAAATCTTTGTAATAAACTTGCCGCTCGGATGAATGACTGACAACCAATTGAATAGGCTACGTTATTAAACTAAACAAAATATTTTAATAATATCGGACACAATTGAATAGGCTGTATGGTCGTTGATCATTACATGTTTCTAAGGAGACTTGGCAACGTCGAGTTTAAACCGGTTTAAACTTGTCATTTGCTTGTCATCTTGTCATACGCATTTGGCATTGTGGTTGAGTTTGTGGATATATTTCGTGTTTTTATTTTCGTGAATTAATTTAACTTGACCCTTATATGCTTTTCTCTTAATTTACAGGACAGTAGGTTGTTGCGCCCACATAATGACAATAATGTGTTACTTGGGTTTTGAGAGGAATAGAACCACAGAACACTAATACCCTTAAATAGAACAGACAATGTACAGCCTCAGACTGCTTTTCGAGATGACATTTTAATAAAAGTTACTGAAAATAATTAAACAATTAAAAAAGTTTGAGTTGTATTTTATTTTATAACTAAAAAACTGCATCCTTTTGTGTCCTTTCAATTTATTGAAACGACTTATTACAAGAACGATTGATTTTACTCCATAACCTACAATTAATAAACCAAAATAAATACAAAACCCCAGGTCTTATAAAAATATGATTTTTTGTCGTAAGTAGCAAATGTTTAAATCTTTAAAATAAAATATATTTAAACTTTGTTCACGCCGGGCTCAAGCTTGTATGAAATCAAGTTCATATCCTTTTACATGTACTCTACAGTATCCGTCTAGCGCCAAGTAGCGCCGGTGTTACGTTATTTGACGCTATATAGCAGGATATTTGTCAATATCGATGAAACATGACGTGGGACTACGGTTTTTCTTTTAGACCAGGAAAATGCTAAAAAATATGCTATATGCTAAATTGAAAATTTTCATGCTAAATCAGTTGAAACTAAAGATGAGACGTATTTAGACGTATTTACCAGGTTTTAAAACCAGGTATTCACTTTAAAGTACCTTGAGGATCACCAGCTGATTAGTGACCGCCAATACGGTTTTCGTCGGGGTCGATCAGCTGGTGATCTTCTGGTCTACCTGACCCATAGATGGGCGGAGGCAGTAGAGTCCAAGGGGGAGGCGTTGGCCGTTAGTCTGGACATTGCGAAGGCCTTCGATCGGGTTTGGCACAAAGCGCTTCTTTCGAAGCTCCCTTCCTATGGGCTTCTCGAGAAATTGTGCAATTGGATCACCAGCTTCCTTGTAGATCGGAGCATCAAGGTCGTTGTAGACGGTGCATGCTC